CAGCAACCAGCTCCCAGTAGCACCTCTGGAAGGTAAGGTGGTAGTGGGGGATGGATGACACAAAAGATGAGGGTGAATTGTTAGTGATGGGTAAAGAGAATGGGGTAGGATGAAAGTGAAAGGGAATAATGGATATGCCAAGATTATGATGTTTTTTTCTCCCACATAGTTATGGTAGCAGTTCTCAGAGCAGCAGCTATGGGCAACCCCCAAGTGGAGGCTATGGCCAACAGTCTGGCTATGGTGGACAGCAGCAAAGCTATGGACAGCAGCAAAGCTCCTATAATCCCCCCCAGGGCTATGGACAACAGAATCAGTACAACAGTAGCAGTGGAGGAGGTGGAGGTGGTGGTGGAGGTAAGAAGGAGTCTTCAGCTGCGTCTCCTACTTATTTTCTGTATTCTATTGTTTAGCCCTTATCAAAGTTTTTTTTTAAGTTCTTTTTATTTTTATCTCATTCTTTTATTTCTATTATCTCTTATTGTTTGGGACTGTTGGTCCTTTTACTAATGTTTTCATTTCTCTTACCCCCTTTTTTTTTGGTACCTGGGAATGAACCCAGGGATGCTTAACCACTGAGCCACATTCTCAGTGCTTTTTATTTGAGACAGGGTCTTGCTAAGTTGCTGAGGGCCTCTCTGAATTGCTGAAGTTGACCTTGAACTTCAAATCCTCCTGCCACGCCCTCCCATGCCTTTGAGCTTAAAGGCATGCATCACTACGCCTGGCCTGGCTTCCTCCCCTGACTCTGGGGATTGAACCCAGGTCTTATCCATGCTGAGCACTCACACACTACTACTAAGCTACATCTCCAGCCTGGTTTTGCTCCCACAAAAAAAGTATCTTTTCTTCTCCCACAGGCAGCTATGGCCAAGATCAGTCCTCCATGAGTGGTGGAGGCGGTGGTTATGGCAATCAGGACCAGAGTGGTGGTGGCGGCGGTGGCTACGGGGGAGGCCAACAGGACCGAGGGGGCCGTGGCAGGGGCGGTGGCGGTGGTTATAACCGCAGCAGTGGTGGCTATGAACCCAGAGGTCGTGGAGGTGGCCGTGGAGGCAGAGGCGGCATGGGGTAGGTGTCTTGTGAGTCAGGGTGTATCTTTGGGGAGTATGGAGGGTGCATGAATCTCCCTTGAAACCAGTCCCTAGTGCATGGTTAGTATTCTTATTCTCTGGGGATCTGTGAGGGCTTTGATTTTGGGGCAGTGACTTTCTTTGTACTTTCCCATTTTATTTTTATGAGAACTTGGGAGCCTAAATTCCTATCTACACCTGTGAGTAGATGTTTGAGTATGATGCTTTTATTTCCAAAGAAAAAGAAAAAGTACATAGCTGTGTATGGATTGGAGTCATTGATATCCTAGGCAAGAAACATGGAAGTAAAGACTTCTTAACTCTGCAAGGGAAACCGATGATCCCACTCCTGGGAAATAGGGAAACTTGGCATGTGCATTCCCATGTGTTCTCCAGGGGAGTTGGTAATGGATAACCTGACTTCAGCTTCCAGGAATTGGCTACTTATTCTTCCCGTATTCTGTAGTCACTTGAATCCAAGAACGTGATTTGCACTAATTTGACTGACTGATTTTGTGTGTGACTTGGTTTATGGGGTCATCTGACTGAAGTGTGCAGACCTTTGGGGCAAGATAATGCTTGACAGTGGAATCCCACCTATTTATTCCACTGTCCGTCTTCCCCTGGTTGGTTAAAAGCATCAGCTTGTCCAACTGGATCTTCTTTCCTTCCCTTCTGCTGAAGTAGAACCTTAGATTTGATGTTAAAACATTTGTCAAATCTGTTGGATATATAGGATTTGAAGAATCCTACTGTCTCCTTGAAAAGGGGAGGAATGTCAGTGTTACTTTTTTTGGAAAAAATAGGTTTTTTAAAATGAGTTCGTATATGGTAAGTATTCAGAGGTGGGTGGGGGCAATCTCAAAAGTGTGCAAAATAAGGAAAACTCTGTTGTGTGCGTGTGTTTATTGCAAAACTTTAAAAAGAAAAACAACTGTTATGTGACTGTTAACTTGCTCTGCATTTTATGTGCCACAGGTATGAAAGGTGACATTGCAAAATACTCCGCTCTTCTCACAGTGTAGAAGGGGTGACCCCGGGGGTGGAGGGTGATCAAAAACAGCTCAGTAGTTAGGATAGGGCTTAGCTAAGTCTGTCTTGCTTTAAGGGGAAATTGCCTTTGGTTTTGACTTTTTATGGAATGGGGTTGGGTCTGCTTGCTGCTTTCAAAGCAAAATCCACAAAAATGTGTTGAGGGCTACCCCAGCCTGGTGTGAAATGTCTTCTGGGTACATTGGGGGTAGGGTTTTTAAACCAACTACTGGGTTGTCAACATTCACGACGAGGAAAAAAACATCTGCTACGTCGGAAGAACAACCAAGGAAAATGGGTCATTTTTTTTTTCCAGAGGAAATAGATATATAATCTTTTAAAGCAAAATTCTTAACTGTGTCTGAGAAATTGCACACGTGTGTGTGACATGCTCACAGGTCAGACAAGGGTTGGTCAGGAAGGGATGTATTTTAGTAGCCACTTGTATCTTTTTCCCAAAACACCTACCCATGTTTGGGGAATGTTAAAATCAAAAACACCCTTTTGTAGCCGTTGGAAGCTTCATGTCCTTTCTTCTAACTTGTCTTCTCCAGCGGAAGTGACCGTGGTGGCTTCAATAAATTTGGTGGTAAGTGAACAGAGTTTCCAAAATTCCCAACTCCCAGCAATGCTTTGTCTGATTGTTCATTTGCAGATGTCTTAGCGTGTTAATTTAAGTGTCAAAGGTTTTGAAGTGTCCATAACCACCTCCAGAAAGTGGTGGGGTAGAATGCCACCCTGCTGCCAGATGTGTGCTAACCTGGAGGCAGGCAGGGGGTAAGACTCAGCAGTCGTCTGGTATCAAATTGGTTTGACCCAGGTTAATAGAGGTATCTAGTAGGCCTCTTGATAGGGGTGTTGCCATACCTGGCATTTAGTGACCACCATTTTGAGAAACTGGAGGGAGTGTGCTGGAACACGTGGTGCCAACTTGGCTTTAGGATCCTTTTGATCAGTATGTGTCCAAGGCTAGTGTGTGTGTATGTGTGTGTGTAACAACCTCCAAATGTTTTAATTCTATGAGGACATGAAATATTGCCCTGCCTGAGGACGGTGAAGTTGGTATATACTTTATATTAAGTACCGAGTGGTGTCAATGCAATTCTACATAATGTACTTAGATGGGCAAATAGAAACTAGCTCTGGGAAGGAAGGTGTGGACTACTTCAAGAAAGATTTGGGAGCATGTGTGGCTCATGGGAAATAACCAGGTCTTAAACAGCACAAACTGAATTCATGGAAAAATGGCAAATTTGAGAAGTCTCCCAGTAAGCTGGAACTTTTCTGGTTTGGTTAACAAAAGGTCTCTTGATTTGTCTCAACATTAAAGCCAAAGGCGTGGGTTCATGACTTAGGTGTCATTGCGTATGGGTACAATATTTGCATATGATGAATTCAGATAAACATTGGTCAAAGATGGTCTCTGGAAAAAAAAAAAAGAGGCTGCATTATGGAAATAAGATTTCTGGTCTGTTCCCTGGGACATGCTTTAAAAATACAATAGCTATCATGTATGTTAATTTTCATGTGGTTTTGGGGAAACTTAACATGGTCTTAAGAATGGTTTCTAAAGATGAAATTAAAAATTGTTCCACAATTGATAAGTGTTTTTGGTGTTTGGAGAAACTGGATGGATGCACATCACATTGCTGGTGGTGAGCCCATGTCTCTCTGGGGTGAGAGAAAAAGGGCCAAGCTATGAGTTGGTTTGTTAACTTTAATGGGTAATTCCCCTCACCCCCCCAAATCTGCGCTGAGGACATTTCCCAGCCTGAGCTGGGGGAGGCAGCATTTTCTGAAGTGTGGCGTTGTCCCTGTGGGGACTCAGGTTACAGATCTTAAGAAATGGGCCTGTGTCTCCCCCAGACCTGCCGATGATATTCTCCTCTGGGCAGGCCCAGGACAGGGTTTGGAGTGAGGCTGTGAGCACTTAACTGATACTTTGCAAGAATATGAATTTGGTATTAATTTTTTTCCTTGTCTGTCTTTCCTGTTGACTAACAGCTGCTCTTTTCCTTGTTTTTGTTTTCTTTCTTTTTTTTCTTTTTTTTTCTTTTTTGTTTTTGTTTTTTTGGTGTCACTTAAGGCCCTCGGGATCAAGGATCACGCCATGATTCTGGTGAGTTCACTGGTGGTGGCATGAAAAAGTTGTTAAAGTAGTATCTAGATTTCACCTAGATGTTTTTTGAAATTTATAAAACAAAAAACTGAAAAAGCAGTGATAGAGAAGGGAAGAGTGTTTTAGATATACTTAACAATTCATAAATGAGTATATCAGAAATGTTAGGTAAATGAATAATTCTTCAGCAATTTAGAGGGTCTGTAATGAGCCTGAGGATCTGTAACAATTCACAGGTGATGCCAATTCATCTGTGGACCATACTCCAGAAATGGACAGCATTTAAAAAAATCTTTACTTCTTTTTTTCTTGTAAATTGTCTTGGGGATCTTCAGTTGAAAGTTGATAAGCGCTGATGAATTTTGTGATCTTGGGCAGTGAACACCTGAGTCCTGGTTTCTGTACAGTGTTATAAAATGTTCTAATGGATAGTTGTAAAACTGAACCCATATGGATATTCAAATGTGAGAATTGAAGGGCTGTTAATTTTTTAATATTTTAACTTGGTTTTTCCTTTTTAAATTTTTCGTGTTCCCCTGTGTTCAACAAGCAGAACAGGATAATTCAGACAACAACACCATCTTTGTACAAGGCCTGGGTGAGAATGTTACAATTGAGTCTGTGGCTGATTACTTCAAGCAGATTGGTATTATTAAGGTACTGTGGAACAGAGTATATAGTTTCTATTGGTTGGCAGGCATTTGGATTTGACACATTAGTAAAAATCAGTCATAGGGATTGCTAGCAGTAAAAATGGAAGTTCTTTTTTAGTTGTTGGTGGACCACTGAGCCACAACCGTAGCCACTAAAAATGGAAGTCTTTTTTTTTTTTTAATATTCATTAGTTGTAGTTGGACACAATATCTATTTATTTTTATGTGATGCTGAGGATCAAACCCAGGGCCTCGCATGTGCTAGGCGAGTGCTCTACCGCTGAGCCACAATCCCAGCCCCAAAAATGGAAGACTTAATGGTCATTGCCAGCTTAGTTTGGTGAGCAAAGAACAGTAGTTGTTGCCATTTTTTAGGAAATTGCACAAAAAGAATAAGTGATAAGAAAGGTCCCCCAAGACAGTGTAGACTGTGGTTTTAATTTAGAACCACAGGGGAGAGCTGTAGTTTGAGAAAGATAAAAGTTTCAGTTCGGGAAGAGGAAGATGGTGTGTTAGTCCTTGAATCAAGTGTCTTAAGATGCTGGGGGTAGAACCCAGGTCCTCATGTCCTAGGCAAGTATTCTATCACAGAGCTACATGCCTCACTTAAAACATTGCCATGCCAGAAGCTGTCTGGATCCAGTGGTTCTGCTTTGAGCCAAACTCAAAATTGAAAATATTTGGAAAAATAGATGTGTCTGAGCTGAACTTGTCCATACATTTTTTCTTATCAGTCGTAAACAAGAAGTATAACAATTACATAGCATTTACACTTAGGTATTAATAAATAATCAATGATTTTTATTTGTGGTGCTTGGGATCAAACTCTTGGGCTTCTGCATGCCAAGTAAGTGAGTAAGTGGTATACCGCTGAGCTACAGGCCTAGATCCTAGGAATTTAGGGTCTAGCTCAGTGTAGTGTCTAGGAGATATATTAAGATATAAGATATTAAGATATAAGTATATTCAGGAGCCAGGAGTGGTGGCGCATACCTGTAATCCCAGCAGCTCAGGAGGCTGAGACAGTAGAATCGCGAGTTCAAAGCCAGCCTTAGCAAAAGCGAGGTGCTAAGCAACTCAGGAGACCCTGTCTCTAAATAAAATACAAAATAGGGCTACGGATGTGGCTCAGTGGTTGAGTGCCCAAGTTCAATCCCCAGTATCCCTCCCCCTGCCCCCATCCCCTGGCCAATAAAAAGTATATATAGGAGCATGTGTGTTTGTTACCTGCAAATATTGGGTCCTTTTAAGTAATGGAATTGAATATATGGATAATGGGGGATTTTGGAAGATCCTAATCCCTCAAGGATACCAATGGAAAATATCATTGTTATCCTCCAAAATTGATAATATTTTGCATTTTTCAGACGAATAAGAAAACTGGACAGCCTATGATTAATTTGTACACAGACAGGGAAACTGGCAAGCTGAAGGGAGAGGCAACGGTCTCATTTGATGACCCACCTTCTGCCAAAGCAGCTATTGACTGGTTTGATGGTATGTATGAGGAAACAGGTTGTGTGGGCATAGGTATGTGTCTAACCTTAGGAAGCATGTTACATTTTGAGGCTTCTTTTGAATCTTCTACCACTTAGTTTATAATTTCAGTGTAGTCTAATTTTTGCTCATGTTTTAGATTATAACCCTTTTTAGGAAGGTATACTCTTAGATTGTACCAAGTGTTTTTGAATCAAGTGTCTTTCTCAAGATGCTGCAGGTAGAACCCTCATATATCCTAGGCAGGTATTCTATCACAGAGCTACACGCCTCACTTAAAATATTTTTTTATACGTCCTTTATTTTCTTTAGGCAAAGAATTTTCCGGGAATCCTATCAAGGTTTCATTTGCTACTCGCCGAGCAGACTTCAATCGGGGTGGTGGCAATGGTCGTGGAGGCCGAGGGCGAGGAGGTGAGCAACTACCTCCTGGTGGTGAATGTTGAAGATGGTAAACGCTTGCATGGAAAAGATGGTTAACCAAACTTGAAGGTGGAACAGACTTCTTATATCTACACCCAGGACCCATGGGCCGTGGAGGCTATGGAGGTGGTGGCAGTGGCGGCGGTGGCCGGGGAGGTTTCCCCAGTGGAGGTGGTGGTGGTGGAGGTCAGCAACGAGCTGGGGACTGGAAATGTCCTAATCCGTGAGTGAAAGTTTTTTTTTGTTTGTTTTTTTAAATTTTAGTGCTCTTATTATAGAATTGTTTGGATATATTTCTAAACTAAGAAATGAGAAAGTTGGGTTGCATGGTTGAGGGAGGATTCAATTGAGAGTGTGTTAGATAAGGTTGGTATATATTCTGCTGTTACCTGTGGGAGATAACTATCGATCCAAGATCCCTAAGTGGGTGCTGGAAATTAGAGTATCAAAATCCTGAATGCTTACTTGAAAACAAGCCCTGTGATATTGAGATAGTGGGTCTGATAGTTTAGATGACTATTAAGTGGGTGGGGTAAGGATATATACAGAATAAGTCTATTGGACAACTTGTGTGAATCTTGGTCAGGATGGTGTGGAATTAACGAGATTCCGTCATGCTGCAACTCAGAAAGCCTGCTATTAAAAAATTTGGAATTTTGTATGATTTTCAAACTGGTTGATCATAGGAAACAACTGCATGTGGGGGAATATTATATCAGGAAAGGTGATGGACTGAGGTTTAGTGGTTATTCTTGTCTTCTGTTCTTAAGTCTCGTTAATTCTAGTTGTTCCTCTACTTTTCCAAAATACTTGTCTTCTTTTTCTTAGTACGTGTGAGAACATGAACTTCTCTTGGAGAAATGAATGCAACCAGTGTAAGGCTCCTAAACCAGATGGCCCAGGAGGGGGACCAGGAGGCTCCCACATGGGTGGTAAGAGAGAGGATTTGGCCAAAAAAATCCCTTAGTTTTTAGCAGGGAGGCTAGGGGAAAGGTAGGAGGATAGAGATCTCATTTATTTCTTTTGTCCTAGGGGGTAACTATGGAGATGATCGACGTGGCGGCAGAGGAGGCTATGATCGGGGCGGCTACCGGGGCCGTGGAGGGGACCGTGGGGGCTTCCGAGGGGGCCGGGGAGGTGGGGACAGAGGTGGCTTTGGCCCTGGCAAGATGGACTCCAGGTGAGTAAGAGTATAAAAAGGAAAATAAAGCAATTGAACACAGGACATGGGGTAATAAGATTGTGTTGAAAATGGTTTCTTTGTAAAGAGCTAAAAGTTGCACACAGTGGCATATACCTTTAATACTGACAGTTGTGTTTGGAGGATCCCAATTTTGAGATCAGCCTGGACAAATTAATTGAGACTCTATTTAAAAATTTAAAAAGGGGGGGTTTGGGGTTGAGCCAGGCAGAGATAGGGATATCCACCTGTAATCCCAGGCTGAGGTATGAAGATTTCAAGTTCAAGACCAGCCTCAGTAACCTAGTGAGGCTTAGCAAGATTGCAGGGCAGCACTGAGTTCAGTC